TCACATTGATCAATTGGGATTATATATACAGTGGGGGAAAAAAGTATTTAGTCAGCCACCAATTGTGCAAGTTCTCCCACTTAAAAAGATGAGAGAGGCCTGTAATTTTCATCATAGGTACACGTCAATTATGACAGAGAAAATGAGGAAAAAAAATCCAGAAAATCACATTGTAGGATTTTTTGTGAATTTATTTGCAAATTATGGTGAAAATAAGCATTTGGTCAATAACAAAAGTTTCTCAATACTTTGTTATATACCCTTTGTTGGCAATGACACAAGTCAAACGTTTTCTGTAAGTCTTCACAAGTTTTTCACACACTGTTCTTTGTCCTCCAAACACGACGAGTTGAATTTTTACCAAAAAGTTATATTTTGGTTTCATCTGACCATATGACATTCTCCCAATCCTCTTCTGGATCATCCAAATGCACTCTAGCAAACTTCAGACGGGCCTGGACATGTACTGGCTTAAGCAGGGGGACACGTCTGGTACTGCAGGATTTGAGTCCCTGGCGGCGTAGTGTGTTACTGATGGTAGGCTTTGTTACTTTGGTCCCAGCTCTCTGCAGGTCATTCACTAGGTCCCCCCGTGTGGTTCTGGGATTTTTGCTCACCGTTCTTGTGATCATTTTGACCCCACGGGGTGAGATCTTGCGTGGAGCCCCAGATCGAGGGAGATTATCAGTGGTCTTGTATGTCTTCCATTTCCTAATAATTGCTCCCACAGTTGATTTCTTCAAACCAAGCTGCTTACCTATTGCAGATTCAGTCTTCCCAGCCTGGTGCAGGTCTACAATTTTGTTTCTGGTGTCCTTTGACAGCTCTTTGGTCTTGGCCATAGTGGAGTTTGGAGTGTGACTGTTTGAGGTTGTGGACCGGTGTCTTTTATACTGATAACAAGTTCAAACAGGTGCCATTAATACAGGTAACGAGTGGAGGACAGAGGAGCCTCTTAAAGAAGAAGTTACAGGTCTGTGAGAGCCAGAAATCTTGCTTGTTTGTAGGAGACCAAATACTTATTTTCCACCATAATTTGAAAATAAATTCATTAAAAATCCTACAATGTGATTTTCTGGAATTTTTTTCCTCAATTTGTCTGTCATAGTGGACGTGTACCTATGATGAAAATTACAGGCCTCTCTCATCTTTTTAAGTGGGAGAACATGCACAATTGGTGGCTGACTAAATACTTTTTTTCCCCACTGTAATTGATCAACTGTTTTTTCTGTTACCCTTTCTACAGCCTTTTGTCTTCAAGGCAGCTCCTGTTTCTGCTCCGCTCATCACTCATGTGTCTCCAGCACTAGACAGTACCTTAGAACCACCATCATTACCAAGCAGCTCTGACCTCATTCTGTTCTGTTCTGTTCCATTCTGTTCTGTTCTGTTCCATTCTGTTCTGTTGTTTTCTATTCTGTTACATTCTATTATATTCTGTTCTGTTCTATTATGTTCTGTTCTATTCTGTTCTGTTCTGTTCTATTCTGTTCCATTCTATTCTCTTATGTTCTTTTCTGTTCTGTTCTATTCTGTTCCATTCTATTCTATTATGTTCTTTTCTGTAATGTTCTATTCTGTTCCATTCTATTCTATTATATTCTATTATATTCTATTCTATTCTGTTCTGTTGTGTTCTATTCTGTTCCATTCTATTCTGTTATGTTCTTTTCTGTTCTGTTCTATTCTGTTCCATTCTATTCTGTTCTATTCTGTTCTATTCTATTCTATTCTGTTCTGTTGTGTTCTATTCTGTTATGGTCTATTCTATTCTGTTCTGTTCTGTTCTATTCTGTTCCATTCTATTCTGTTATGTTCTTTTCTGTTCTGTTCTATTCTGTTCCATTCTATTCTGTTCTGTTCTATTCTGTTCCATTCTATTCTGTTCTATTATGTTCTGTTCTGTTCTATTCTGTTCGATTCTATTCTATTCTATTCTATTCTATTCTATTCTATTCTATTCTATTCTATTCTATTCTATTCTATTCTGTTCTGTTCTATTCTGTTCCATTCTATTCTGTTCTATTCTGTTCTGTTCTGTTCTATTCTGTTCCATTCTATTCTGTTCTATTGTGTTCTGTTCTGTTCTATTCTGTTTTATTCTATTCTATTCTGTTGTGTTCTATTCTGTTATGGTCTATTCTGTTCCATTCTATTCTGTTATGTTCTATTATGTTCTGTTCTATTCTGTTCTGTTCTGTTCTATTCTGTTCTGTTCTGTTCTATTCTATTCTGTTCTGTTCTATTCTGTTCCATTCTATTCTGTTCTATTATGTTCTGTTCTGTTCTATTCTGTTTTATTCTATTCTATTCTGTTGTGTTCTATTCTGTTATGGTCTATTCTGTTCCATTCTATTCTGTTATGTTCTATTCTGTTCCATTCTATTCTGTTCTATTATGTTCTGTTCTGTTCTATTCTGTTCGATTCTATTCTATTCTATTCTATTCTATTCTATTCTATTCTATTCTATTCTGTTCTGTTCTATTCTGTTCCATTCTATTCTGTTCTATTCTGTTCTGTTCTGTTCTATTCTGTTCCATTCTATTCTGTTCTATTGTGTTCTGTTCTGTTCTATTCTGTTTTATTCTATTCTATTCTGTTGTGTTCTATTCTGTTATGGTCTATTCTGTTCCATTCTATTCTGTTATGTTCTATTATGTTCTGTTCTATTCTGTTCTGTTCTGTTCTATTCTGTTCTGTTCTGTTCTATTCTATTCTGTTCTGTTCTATTCTGTTCCATTCTATTCTGTTCTATTATGTTCTGTTCTGTTCTATTCTGTTTTATTCTATTCTATTCTGTTGTGTTCTATTCTGTTATGGTCTATTCTGTTCCATTCTATTCTGTTATGTTCTATTCTGTTCTATTCTGTACTATTCTATTCTGTTCCATTCTATTTTGTTATGTTCTTTTCTGTTCCATTCTATTCTGTTCTGTTCTTTTCTGTTCTGTTCTATTCTGTTCCATTCTATTCTGTTCTATTCTGTTCTATTCTATTCTATTCTGTTCTGTTGTGTTCTATTCTGTTATGGTCTATTCTATTCTGTTCTGTTCTGTTCTATTCTGTTCCATTCTATTCTGTTATGTTCTTTTCTGTTCTGTTCTATTCTGTTCCATTCTATTCTGTTCTGTTCTATTCTGTTCCATTCTATTCTGTTCTATTATGTTCTGTTCTGTTCTATTCTGTTCGATTCTATTCTATTCTATTCTATTCTATTCTATTCTATTCTATTCTATTCTACTCTATTCTGTTCTGTTCTATTCTGTTCCATTCTATTCTGTTCTATTCTGTTCTGTTCTGTTCTATTCTGTTCCATTCTATTCTGTTCTATTGTGTTCTGTTCTGTTCTATTCTGTTTTATTCTATTCTATTCTGTTGTGTTCTATTCTGTTATGGTCTATTCTGTTCCATTCTATTCTGTTATGTTCTATTATGTTCTGTTCTATTCTGTTCTGTTCTGTTCTATTCTGTTCTGTTCTGTTCTATTCTATTCTGTTCTGTTCTATTCTGTTCCATTCTATTCTGTTCTATTATGTTCTGTTCTGTTCTATTCTGTTTTATTATATTCTATTCTGTTGTGTTCTATTCTGTTATGGTCTATTCTGTTCCATTCTATTCTGTTATGTTCTATTCTGTTCTATTCTGTACTATTCTATTCTGTTCCATTCTATTTTGTTATGTTCTATTCTGTTCCATTCTATTCTGTTCTGTTCTGTTCTCATCTTTGCCTTTCTGCAACACTATTGCATTACTAGCCACCATTACCAGGCAGCAACAGCCTCTTCTCTCCCACCCCGGGTCCTTTTCAAATACTGCTGCGGCACCATCGAGAGCATCCTGACCGGTTGCATCACGGCCTGGCTCCATGCACAATCACAAGGCCCTCCAGCGGGTGGTGAAAATGTCCCAGTACATCCCACCCATCCAGGACATCTACTCGAAATGGGGCCTAAGGAAGGTTCGTAGCATCATCAAACCTCGAGCTAGTCACTCCCTTACCGTCGGGAAGACTGAAACCAACAGGCTCAGAGACAGTTTCTATCTATAAGCCGTCAGACTGCTGAACACTTGAACTGGACTGACCACCTGCACTGACATTCCGCACCTTAGCACACATGCACTCACTCACACACACACACCCACATAGATATTTATATACACACACACACACACACACACACACACACAAACACACACACACACACACACACCACACACACACACACACACACACACACACACACACACACACACACACACACACACATCCCAACTGCTGCTACCAGACTCGTATTATACTGCTCAGTTTATACACCCCCCCCCCCCCCCCCCCTCCCCAAAACACGTGTGAATATTGGACTATAAATGGTTCCTTCCTGTATTATACTGATGCTAACATGTTTATTCTGTTCTACTGAGACATTTACTTTGTGTTCCTATTCTTATCTTTTATTATTTCTTATTGTTGTTGCATTGTCCAGAAGGAACCTACAAGTAAGCATTTGGTTGGACGACGTATACCGTGGGTATCCTGAACATACGACTAATAAAACATAAACTTAAAACTCTTCTCGGCTCCTCTCTCTCCATCTTCCTTTGCAACAGCCTCCTCCCCTCCCCTCTCCTCTCTTCCGATCTGTCAAAGAGAGCAGCTCTGACCCAGCCTGTGGTGGTTTTAACCTGTAAATCCAGCCGGACGCTAAGGGCCTCTGCTGCCCACATGGGAGAGGAGGGAGAGGGAGGGGGATAGATGGATGGAGGGAGACATTGAGAGAAGGAGAGCTGAGAGACAGATGGAGCGATGGAGAGAGAGAGAGAGCAGGGAGACAGGGATGAGCGATGGAGAGAGAGAGAGAAGAGAGAGAGAGAGAGAGAGGAAGATAGGAGGATGAGAGTAGATCAGATAGAGAGAGAGAGCGATGAAGATAGCATAATATGATCGATCGTATCGACTAGTCGAGATAGTCTCTCATGCAGAGCTCGACGAGAAGAGCTCAATGATGATCAGGGAGACAGGGATGGAGCGATGTAGACATGGAGCGAGGGAGCTATTAGAGAGAGACGATGCCCTTGGCTTGACCGTGAGGCAGACAGGCTCTGCAGTAACAGTAACAGCAGCAGCAGTGGCAGGGGGCGGGAGAAAGGCGGGCTGCTAAGTAGTGGCGAGGCAGCGTTGGGTCCCAGTGCGAGCCAGTCTCATTGCACTGCTCTCCATGTCTCCACCAGGCAGGCGGAGAGAGACATTACAGGCAGCCCTGGTTAGCATGATGGGGCTAAGAGTGGCTCCGCCTCAGCCTGCTCCCTAATCATTACTCCATTGTCATCTAGGCTGCATATTTTCATCTCGAAACTGCTCGCATGTGTTGTGCCCTTTTGACAACGGTGTTTTCCTGCTACATTATGGACCGAACATTCGTACGTAGCTTGCTGCCTTGTATGCATTGCTGCGATTATAATATTAAAAAAGAATAGTTTATCAACACTTTAAGCTAAACATTCTGATCTGTTGCATCAGGACTCATTGCTTTTTAACATCGTTTTATGTAGCCTATAGACCTACTGGTTATATGAATTTAGGATCTATCGTCCCACAACACTCCCAGAGTCTGATTGGAACAGGCTATTTCTTTGTCGACAAGCTGACCAATAGAATAGGTCAACGTTTCTAAAATGGGGGATGGTAGATTGACGTAGGCTAGTGATTTTGCTGTTCGTTACTTGTCTTTCTTGACAATTGTTCAAACATCTTAAAAGTACGCATCAGAACGAGTGGGCCGATGAGGTCCAGCTGACCCAGCAACAAGCTGAGCCCCAGGCCCAAGTTCATGGTGCTGTGCGGGGATCCACCCCGTACCGGGAGGGGCAGGAGCGGGATTTGAAGGTGTGTCTGAGCGGCACAGATCCCTCCATCCCTCTGGTGTTTGTCAGTGGGAACCATGACCTGGGTAACGCACCCACCCCAGAGACTGTAGCCCACCCCGGAGACTGTAGCCCACCCCGGAGACTGTAGCCCACCCCGGAGACTGTAGCCCACCCTAGAGACTGTAGCCCACCCCGGAGACTGTAGCCCACCCCGGAGACTGTAGCCCACCCCGGAGACTGTAGCCCACCCCGGAGACTGTAGCCCACCCCGGAGACTGTAGCCCACCCCGGAGACTGTAGCCCACCCCGGAGACTGTAGCCCACCCCGGAGACTGTAGCCCACCCCGGAGACTGTAGCCCAGCTCGGCAACGCCTGGGAAGACGACTACTCTGGTGCTGAACTTCCAGCTGCTCTGTGATGCGTCGGCCTGCCCCGATCTGAGAGACGCCCAGGAGGCCTGGTTAGAGGGCCAGCTACAGAGGGCCTCTCAGGGGCAGACCGCCACGAGGCAGAGCCTCATAGGCAGGTTCACAACGGCCTGGACTTGGTGGTGAGCTCCGCTATAGGCTGCCAGCTTGGGAGACGACACTCACGGGGTCAGGGTGGTGGTGGTGGTGACCACCGACCAGGTCATCCATCTCTACCACGGCCTGGAGCAGCTCAGTGGGCGGGGCATGGACGAGGACCTCAGGAAACTACTGCAGGCCTGA